CTTTTCTTGATTTGCAGGTATTTCAGTGTTCCCTTATCCATCATTTCCCTTTGATAAGGCTAGTTTTTTTGCATTGCAAATACAATTATGTTGAATGTCCTATTTCTTTGATTTTCAATATAGGCAACACGTATTAATACAATGCCCCTCAAAGGTTTCTGTAAAACTTTTCATATCTGTAAAAAAGAATCACAACATTTAGAGCATTATTGGGATTTTAGGGGGTAGACCCAAAATCAAGTAGTGTATAATTGCAAAGCTGTTGAAAAACTAAAAAAATCCAGAAATGGACCACACACTAAAGCTATAAAAAAAAAAAAAAAAAAAAAAAAAAAAACCTTCAAAAGTATATAACTGAAAAGTGAAATTTGCATTTTGCATTCAACCCCCCTAAGCCAACGTATTGTAGAACCGGTCTCCACTGCAATTGCAGCTTAAAACTGAAACTTTGCCATTTCTTTTTTCACAAAAGAAAGAGCAGTCAGATCATCTAAAGAGAGTCTGTGAACATCAGTTTTAAAGGCTTTCCAAAGACTGTCAAGTTTCTGCTGACATTTGACTAGGCGGCTCTAAAAATAATCATTAAATGGTACCCCTGCCTGAATTTTTAGGGTAATTGTTATGCTTGAAGGTGAACTTTGGCCGCACTTATAAAAGATTATTAACCAATGATCAACAATTTTTTGTTGATAAACGGTGTACAGTACATGCCATCTGTTTGGCACCCCCCTCAGGTTTAAAGGAAAAGTTCTGTCAGCAAGAGATGATCAATGGATCATTATCTATACCTTAAACTAATATGTTCACAGTGATTTCATGAACTGAGTATTAATCAGTAAAAAAAAAAAAAAATTGCGATCACATAGTCTGGGAGCAGCCATTTTTGCCCAACTATGGTAATGCTTCACTCCTGACATCTTCCGGCAGTGACGTCACGATGTGGTAAGCCTAGCGTCATTCTCCCCGCTTTAAAAACAAAATCAATAGGAACTACTAGACACCCCTGCAATAAACAACAATTATTTAAGATTTCGAGAGGACTTCACCATTGAACTTCACGAGAGCTATAATTAAACTGACAATGCCCACGTGCATGACAGTTGGATGTTGTAATAAATACATCAGGTCAAAGTGAAAAAAACATTTTATTTCACCTTTCCGATTCATGATCCTCCACGGACGGGTTCATTGTTGGATTGCCAACTTGAAGAGGAAGAACTTTCCGTTGAACTTCTGGCCAGAGAAAAAAACATATCAAAGAAGAATGTTTTCAAGATGGCTTGGATAATAGCGCATTGTGACAAACATCAGATACAGCGCTCGAACTTGAACAACAACCGATACTGCACCGTGACGTCACAAACTAGTATGTGGCAGTAGTGTTCTTTGACAAACATGGATGTCTTCATTAAAGTACATTCAAATGAAATTACTCTTAATTAAAAACACTTAACACTTATTGAACAGTATGTTATAATCTATATTTAAAGTACTTTCAGAAGTTTGACTTCTGAATATGACAGGACATTTCCTTTAAAAGGGGCTACCATATTGGATTTTTTCTGTTGGCTTAGCCATTTTTTTTTTTAAGATGTGACGTGACTTGAAAAAACTGACTTCAGTTGCTCTAGCCTGGGCAGCTTGTCTTTGCTGACTCTCTTCTCCTACATGTGGTTTACTTGGAGAACTACAATAAAATGATTTCTTACAATTGAAAATTAATATAAATTAGGATTTCTGTCATGAAAGTTAATAAAAATAGTAAATGCATCATTTTTTTTATTAAAAACATGTCTCTTTTGTCTGTCCAGTCTAGTATAATGATTTGATATTAGTTTTTTTATCAGTATGTCACATAACCTAAAATTTACTTTAACAACATACATGTTGAAGAGAAAAATTATTAAAATATCTAAACTGCATTAGAACCGGACAAAATGGATTGTGCCTCATCTTTCTAGTCTAAAATAATGATTTTGCATTAATTTTGTGAGAGTGGGTCATAAGACATGAAGGTCATTGATTTCTGTTTATCAAGAGAGTTTGTTTTGGATATTTATTGACATTTCCCATGATAACCAGCATACGTGGTAGAAGGTAGGAGCCAAACAGAATCTCTGAGTCAGCAGCTCAAATTGGTATATCTCAGGGCTGCCAGCCTCCTCCATAGAACCTTCCTCTCCTCCCCTCATTCTCTCTGTCTCTGGTGAAGAGAGCTGAGAGAAATCCTCATACAACCGCTCCGTCACAAAGCTATCATTGCTAGGATTGCTTTCCTCCCTGTGTCTGCGTCACTGTGATAGTTGTCTTGGGCAGAAGAAAGTACAAAACTTTAAATTGTACTTTCTGCATCCAATAGGTTTCTGATTATTGAGTATCTACAGTAGCTTCTTATCAACTCCCCTCTCTGCCTAACCTTAGCATTATGCTGCCACCAGTATGATTCCTTATTGGCAACATAACTTTAGCATATTTTCTGCAACAAATAGCATCGTATGTGTAGGTTAATTTTGGTCTCATCTCTTCAGAGATTTTCTGTGTTTTGTAGCAAAATGTATTTTTTTATTTAGTAATACAACTATGTTTTCCCTTTCCAAGAAAGCCACATTTGTGGAGTGAAAAACTTATTATTTTTATAAATAATCTCACCTAAACTACAAATATCTGCAGGTCACTTAGCTACCATGGATCCCTCGTAATATGTTTCCCTAATTCATTTTCGGTTTTCTCTCTTTACAGATTTGCAACTGTTCCATATTCTTTAAAACCTCCAGATGGATGATAGTTCCCAAAGATGGAGGTATTGTTTTATAGCCTATTCTTGCTTTCACCTTCTCCACAACTTTCTACCTGACATGTCTGTTTCTATTCTTGTTTTTCATCATGTTGTTTGTTTATCAATATTCTCAAACACATATTTTAGTTCTTCACAGAACAACTGGATTTGCTGTATACCGTTATTAATTTTACCCAGGAGAACTCTATTGTCTAATTATGTGATTCTTCAAAATAATACAATTACATCTATCATATGTAATGTTCTTTCAGCTTGGCAATTCTACACCACTCAATGGCTATTATGAGAATATATAGACATTATGAAAATGTACTGTCATTTGTAGAATATGAAAATGGATAAGGACATTAACACTCTTATTAGGTAATAAAATTAAAATAAAAGAAACAGGCATCTGCGTGAAACAAGACCTTACACGACATTTGTTTATAGGTTTATCATTCTTATCAGGATGTACTGAAGTTTTAAATAGTCATTTTTCAAAGCAGTTAACCATTGTACCATTTGTACATCTATATATTATAAAAAAGATAAGTTTGGCTTATCTTACCAACAATAGGTTTAACAGATTCCTAAAATGATTTGAATACATCAATTATAATATAACTAAATAACTTTACATTTTGTCACTGCTGCACTTAAAGAAATAGAAATATCATGAGAGCTGTACCACACAAAATTACGTTTTGTATACGCTCTGTATATACAAAATGACAATAAATCTGAGTCTAAATTATCAGTCTTAGTGTACTTTTCATTCTCAAATTCTGTTTAACTATTCAGTGCTCTGTATGTCACCTAGGTGGTTATTTTCTGTTGGAAATCCCTCTCTTTCACCTATGATAATTCATACTACGGCAAAGTGGATGCCACGTTTGGTTCTCAGCTACATAGGAAAACAGATCGATATGATCAAATGTGTAATATTTTATCTTGGAAAAAGGTATTTTAGTGTTGCACTGCGCCCACACTGATGTGGCTTTTTTTCTATTTGAAATAGGGTAACAAAATAAAGAAATTTAAAAGCAGTACTTACCATATGTATGTATGTGAGCCAGATCAATTTTTGAAGGATGGTGTCTAATGTATGTCTTTCTCTCTAACCTACATGCACCTCAATCATTTTGTTTCAATGTCTAATTCACATACATTGTCTGGGCATGCCTGATGTTTTTGGCCACAGTTCTCATGTGTAGTGCATAGCGCCGCCAAAGGGCCTGTATACATACAGTACTACAATGTGGATATTTTGTTGCACATTGAAGCAATGATTTCGTAAGTATGTCATACTCTAAGATGCAGCTCTGAGAAATTATTTTTTTTCAGTTGCCGATCCATGGGGAGAAAAGGTTGGTTCTCTTGTCTAAATCTGATACTGTACATGTGTTTTTTTGTTTTTTTGTAATAAAAAAACAAAACAAGAATAGTGTAACTTGTATTTTCTGTCTGCTTCTGTCTCCTTGAACCCCAGTTGACCATGGCAGATGGCCGCTCACACTGACAGTGGTTCTGCTGGAGGTTTCTCCCTGTTAATAGGGAGTTTTTACTCTCCACTGTTGCTACATGCATGCTTGGATTGCCTTCGAGTCAATGGATTGATGTAACCAACTGATTTCCTTAGACAGAAAACTTTGAATAAGTTTGACTGTATAATGTGGTTGAATTGTCTCTTTAACCCTATAATGCCAAATGTATCGTATTTGATACATACGGTTTCTGAAAT